ATTTGAAAATTTTACAATGTGAATGCTGTTCGTAAATTACTACATATATGTGGTAGATCGGGGCAAGTTTCCCTCACCCCCAAGAAGCCATAGTCATTTATGTCTGTCTGGCAACCAGAGGGTGAATGAGTGGCCACATTTCCTCTATCCCCAAATGCCCGAAGTCATAATGTATATATGAGCCTGTGTACGCATGTTTATAAGTGTATGTATCTAAGTTTGTGTGTGTGTATTGTCACTTTTTAAAATGTGCCTCAAAATCCAACAGTGCCCCTTTTGAGTTCAGACACTGACGTTCCCGTGGATCCCACCCATGCTTAATGTACATACACACTGAAAGACTGTTACAGATTAAAATTAGAAATGAAATACAATATTTTGTTTTACTTTGTAACTTTCCCTTTAGACAATTATACACTTACACAGCCTTGCAATAACGACCAACGCCCAGTAAACTTTATATCAGCTTTTTCAGAACCCGCTTGACAACCTGCAGTACTGGATGGGTTAGATTTCACTTTTATTATAGACCACACCAGTAAGTAATAGGTAGAAAGAAAAAGAATTCATACAGTTATCCACACATACACTATATAGACAAAAGTAATGGGACACCTGATGATTTACCAACAGGGACTTTTATGACCTTGCTTTCCAAATACATGGAAAACACAAACTGAAGACATTAATATGCATTTGGGCCCCCTTTGCAGCTATAACAACTTCCACTCTTCTGGGAAGGCTTTCTACAAGATTTTGGAGTGTCTCTTTGAGATTTTTTTGCTCATTCATCCAGTGGAGCATTTGTGAGATCAGGCCCTGATGTTGGATGTGAAAGCCTGGCTCGCAATCTCCGTTCCAGTTCATTCCAAAGGCATTTGATGGGGTTGAGGGCTCTGTGTGGGCCAGTCAATTCTTCCACACCAATTCATGTAACCATGTCTTTATGGACCTTGGTTTGTGCACTGGAGCACAGTCATGCTGGAATAAACAAGGTCCCCACAAAGTTGAAAGCATTGTCCAAAATGTCTTGGTATCATGAAGCATTAAGACTTTCCTTCACTGGACATAAGAAGCTTAGCCCAACCCGTGAAAAATAACCCCAAATAACTCCTCCACCAAACTTTACAGTTGGCACAATATAGTCAGGAAGGCAACATTTTCCTGGGATCTGCCAAACCCATACTCGCCCATCAGACTGCCAAACAAAGAATCATGATTCTCCACAGGACATGTTTCCACTGATCCAGAGACCAGTGATGGAGTGCTTTACTCCACTCGATATGAAGTTTCATTTTGCATTGTATTAATCCCTACTGTCCAAAAAAGTTCCGATTAATATAAGTGTAATATCTAGACGTGGCAATTTGTTTTGTTATGAACTGCAATTTTTTCACAAGTTGGTAACTTTGTATTCTTTAGTCTAACAAATATTGTTCCACTATAATTTATCTCTTCCTTTTCATAATTGCATAATTCTGTGTATAATAAATAAAATGTAAATATAGGAATCCTACTACTCTTGGTAGACCTGGTTTAAAAATGTTTTAGAAAACAGAAAAAAGTGGAAGCCTAGTATATGGTAAATTGATAAGGCAGTGAAGGGATTAACCCTAAATAGAATAGAATATAATGAAAGAAGGAAAAGCACTGCCGTGGAAAAATTTTAAACATAACTTTTAATAGTGAAACAATTAAAAGGTGATATTAATATAAATTAATCTAATTACTCTCAAGAGACCTCAATATACCAAAAGGGAATATAGAGAGATAAAAGTAGACAGATAAGTCCTAGTGATTAATAAAAGAATGTCCAAGTTTAAATCAAGTATATTGTAACTATAGAGTCAAGTTTGGACACTTCAAAAAATTTAACAACCAAAGATACACACTGATGTTACAATGTATCAGTTGTTACAGGTTAATCACTCTCTAGATTTGTGACACTATACAGCAAAGTGTCAATGCATCTGTATAGGCTAGGACATTATATTTTGTGATATGCCTATAAATATAGGCATTGCTTTAAACACAAATAGATGTGCTAAACCTTAGTCTGTCTCTTAGAAACAGACACTTCTTTTCGTTCTAAGAAGTGTGGAACGACAAGTCTGTCTGATAAATCCTGTTCAGACTAACTGCTAAAAATAGGAGAGGTGAAGAGTATATAGATATATATGTCTACAAAAGTTCCTTTTGCCCGATATAATTGTCAAAGAGCTGAACTAGAGTAATTAAATTAATGAGTTACGATATGTATATAGAGATATATTGCAAAAGTCTAACTGTGCCTTCAAGGGCACCTACCTCTAATAGAAAAGGTAAACTAGCTAGCTGTCAAATATACAAAACTAAATCTAAGTGCCCTGATAAGCGTGATGTAAACTTATAATTTCAGTGTACTGTGCGCAAATGCCTAAATTTGCAAGCACAGATAGAAAATGAAAATACCCCAGCCCCAAAAACCTTAAATCGGAGAGTAACTATATAGTGCTGGTTAAGTCCCACCAGAGAATGCAATAACCGATGAATAAAGGCCAAGGTAATTCGAGATATAGATCTCCCAAACCCCTTGAAAAGCCGCCTTACCGGCGAAACGCGCATCGGGGTTTGGGAGATCTATATCTCGAATTACCTTAGCCCTAGCCTTTATTCATTGGTTATTGCAAGTTTAACCTGTAACAACTGATACATTGTAACATCAGTGTGTATCTTTGGTTGTTACATATTTTGAAGTGTCCAAACTTGACTCTATAGTTACAATATACTTGATTTAAACTTGGACATTCTTTTATTAATCACTACCACTTATCTGTCCACTTTTATCTCTCTATATTCCCTTTTGGTATATTGAGGTCTCTTGAGAGTAATTAGATTCGTTTTATATTAATATCACCTTTTAATTGTTTCACTATTAAAAGTTATGTTTGAAATTTTTCCACGGCAGTGCTTTTCCTTCTTTCATTATATGGTTTGAAAATGTGGTGGAATCCAGGTGGCTGTACTAACTTTGCGAAGACTCTCGAATTCTGAAAAAGGGTGTTATCAATCTATTGTCATGAGCATAAATATCACAGATATCAGGAAATGTCATTAGAACTTAATGGATGGACAAACATTTTATGCATACAACAGCACACATGATACTGTATTTACTATTGAGTTTATTTTAAGATTGACACATAAAGAAGTACCTTAACATGCTTTATTTCTTGGCACTCAAAAAGACTTTTCACATTTCTCTACATTTGCAAATGTTTTACGTTGACTTCCAGTGACGTATGTAAGTTCTAAATGTTAGATTTCTCCGTTTGCCTATTTAAGAAGTTGCACAGCAAATTAAAAGGTGCAACAAATGATCCTATGGACCTAAGAATACTCTGTTCTACACCTGTATCTTCTAGTAACCAGCTGATCAAAGAACCTAATGGGTCCCATGCATTATATATACCTCCCATGTTCCCTTATTTAGGAGGATGTAACATGAACATGTCACAGGTGTCTTGTGCGTTTTTTATTCTTGTGCTCACTTTTTCCATAGTGCTGTGGATTTTTAAAGAATAAGGTCTTTATCTTTGAATGACTGTCTTCTGGAGGCTTTGTTTGGGGCGTTACTTGTAAGGGGATTTGGCGATTATTGTTCATGTCTATGTAACATAAACATATTTGACACCAGAGAAGACATAATAAAATATGAATTAGCTAATATTAAATCCAAATTAGACGCGAATAAGAGGTCTTGCAAGCTGCAAAAATGTATACAGCTAGATGTTCCAGAAAATTCATTTGTACCTTGCATCTAATTTTAAACGGTGCACTCACCACCCCCGAAAAACAAACAAACTATTATGTCATTTTAATAAAGAATTTAATTTTGTTAAAATACAGTTTTGACCCACTACTGACTAATGTACAGTTGTTTTAATGGACCTGGTTATTTTAGATTAATAATAGTTTTAACATGTATGTTGAAGATTTGGAAATTGATTTAAGGCTTTTTGACTTATGAAGTCAGGTTACTCATTGAGTGTCAAAGAATACTAGCCTTGGCCAGTAACTTAAAACAGTCTTACAGCCGTTAATGATGCAAAAAAAACATGTTTACTTGAAATGATTAAGTGACGTACTTTTAAGGATCATGTGGTAGATTATATCGACATGTCTTATTTCCTGTATTGGTTAGTCAGAGTTGACACAATATTGTTAGTTTTCCGAATAAAAATGTATGCTTCCATGTATCTATTCTTCCAGCATAATTGCCGTTTAAGACTTTTTGGTATCGATAAATATTCAAAAGATTTCAGTGTTTTTAGATTTACTTAAGAACCATCACATCTATGTAGCGTTCTTGTGCTCTGGGTATATATGCACAAACTACTTACTCCTGATTTCTTTCCAGAGCAGGTAATCAATTATCTACTTTTCAACTGTAGGGTAATAGCTTCTTGATCCAAGGATAAATCTGACTGCCATTCTGGGGTCAAGAGGGAATTTTTCCCCCTAGTTTGTTGCAAAATTGGAAGTGCTTCAAACTGTTTTTTCCCCCCTTCTTTTGGATCAAGCGCAAAAAAGGAGAAGTGAGGAAGGCTGGACTTGATGGAGACATGTCTCTTATCAGCTAATGCAACTATGTAACTATGTAACTAAATGTGTTGCCTTACGTCCACTGGGACTCAAATGAATGGTTTTCGATTTCCAGACCACTGATAACATGTGAATCTGGTGACAAGCCTTGAAGAGCAGAAACATCATAACCCATGACTGGTAGGGCACATTGAAAAGGGCACATTAAACATTTGATGTCACTGATAAGTCACACCACAAAAACTGTTCAATAGAAGTACGACTCAAATAAGAAGATAATTATGTAAAGCTATTACATCGCTATCCATTTTGGCATCTCAATCTGCCGTGTGGACTATTATGCTTGGATCATCGTGATGATACCACCAACCCATCCTAAGCACAAACACACAACCAAAATAAAGACAGAATCCAGGGTTAAGCAAAAAAATGTCCTTTTAATAGGTTGATCTGTCAAAATAAAAAAAAATGCAGTTTCTAAAAACACATCGAAAGCTTCTATGAAACACCACCCTTTGTATCAAAAAACAAAAGCTCTGTAATTATTGTATCTTAGAATACGATCAACACCTTGTTAAAGTCACAATGTTTAGTGCTCTAATTATTTAAAAGTCACACCCATAAAAAATTAAACCAAGTGCTATTTGCAAAATATCAGTCATATATTTCTATATCAAAGAATATTGATTTAGTTCATATTTTTTAGAGTAAGTAGAAAATAGTCCACAGGTTATGGAGCAAATATACATTTGTGAGTCTCAGAAATAAGTAATATGTTTTATTGTTTATCATAGAGATACTGAAACACCACACAGTGCAACATATAAAGGTTATCAGGAAGTATATTAAAATTGTAGCACATTTTTTATAATTTCTTTGTATGTATATGTATTACAAAAACTTATAATGCTATGTTACACAATACTAAATATGAAGTCTATAGCTCAACTATGTACAATAGATCAGGTAGCTCTAAAGGTAAGGTTTAACCATCTCTACAAACAAAAAGAGCGGTGCTACTGCTTCTGTTTGATGATTGGCCCTCTGTGATTTAAAAAAAATGTTTTAATTTTTTTTTACTGGCCTGCCAGTAGAAACAAAAAAACTGGCTGTTTATCAATTCTTATCACAACGCTTTATTTACAAAAAAATAGACATGCTTAATATCTACAAGAGTATAAATGTCTTTCACCTGAAGATTCACGTATTTTCTTGCCCCAGTAAACAAAAGAAGTGCTAAGCATCATGGAGATATTGGACTTACTGCAATTTTTCCCCTTATTTATTCAACAGTGTTTGTTACCAAAAAAATAAAAATAAAAAATGGCACCACAGGAAACAGTATCTTCAGGTAATCAAAGTGGCGCCCTCATTTTCACGAAAGTAGCACTCACTCACCACATGCTGCAAGCATTAACTGGACATGAAGTCCGAGCAGTGATTGTTACAAAGTTTTATTGACTTTGCTAGCAGGAAATCATGTTCCCACTTGATGGTTGCACCACCCTCTCCAGTATTTGACTAGGAATGTCAAAACACTTAAGACAATAACACAATGGCCTCCGGTCACTTATGCCAAAACACAGAACATACATTTTTGCCCCTGTCATCAAAAAAGCTTTTTTTTTTTGTGAAGGATATATTTATAAAATCACATCCTTAATGACTTAGTGACTAAAGGATTAGGCTACAAGAGGAAGTTGCAAGATAGGTCAGACCATAAACCCAAAGCCATCAACTTTGAATATTGCTAGGAAGAAATCCAAGATGGAGACATTTCTTTTCCAATATTTCCTTCAGTGGAATCGACAGATGCAAAACTGGGCAATTTTTATGTATCGGAGCTTGAAGATTACTTTTTCTTTCTTGCATTTTGAGGTTTTGATGAGAACAGGGATTTCTTTATAAAATGGTTCGCTGACCATAGAGGTTGCCGGTTTGTTGAATGAGGAAATGCATCCTTTGCAAAGACAATAGGCCTCCAGTATTTTATGCGGGTATCGGTTTAAGTCTTCGTTGATCCTAGAAAGGCAAACGTTAAATAGTTTCCTTCATACCATTACAACATCTTCATTACTGAAATGTATTTATGGACAGATAGTTAAGGAAAAGGAGAAAAGGAATACAGAATGGTACATATATTACCAGAATGTATCATGTCTAAAATCTTTGACTAAATTCCAATAAATTGATATGTTTTAATGTGAGCCTTGTTGTTCAAATGAAAATGTCAATTGCAGCATTTCAAATGAAGCAGGTCTGTTCACTCAGACCATGGAATGGACTTATCTCCATTTGTGGGAGAGCAAACATGAAATGGAGAGTCTAAGCACCATATCCACTACATATTGTAAGTAGTCCTCACAATTCCTTGCCTAGATTTAACTTAAACCTTTCAGGGCTGCGGCTGCAATGGATGGACAGTCATGATATGTGACTCTTGATGTCATTAGTGATGTAATCGGAAAACTGTTCAGGAGCAGGATGACAATGATTGGATAGCGGCTCTTCACTAAACCACTACCCAATTGTAATACCCTCCCTGTACACAAGGTGGTAGAATAAAGAGACTGTTTGATGATTGTGGTGTTTAACTCTGTAACCCCATTTACCTATTTATTTGTCACAATTTTGGTAGATATTTAAGGATCTCTATTCATATTGTATTTTTTTCATGGGGAACTGAAACCGGCAGTCTTTGGTAATTTGTGTATTCTAGGGACCCAAACAGTTTATACTTGTGTTTTAAGGGACACTATAGTCAGCATAAAAATGTCATCTTAATGAAGTAGTTTAGGTGTTTTTAAAGTCTCACCGCTCAATTCTGAACTGAAGTGACTGAACCATTTATGAGTTCAGCCACTTTTGTTTCTATTTATGCAGCCCTTGCCACACCTCCCCGACTGTGATTCACACAGCCTGCATGTAAAAGCAAATGGTTTAATTTTCAACCAGACATTAACTTACTTTAGAAAATTGTGCTGTAAATTTAACTTTAATCATACAAGGGAGGCTCATGCAGAGTCTAGCAAGCTAAATTCTAAATTAAACAGTATATGTAATGAAGGGAGTTTAAACATTAGATTTCACTTTACAGGAAGTGAATAGAAAGGCTGTGCAAGTCACACGCAGGGAGGTGTGAATAAGGTGCATAAACAAAGTGATTTAACTTCTAAATGGCAGATAATTGGGCAGTGAGACTGCAGGGGCATGATCTATACACAAAAACTGTTTCATTAAGTTAAATTTGTTTTGATTATTGTGTCCCTTTAATCTCAGTGCAGTAGGCAGGAACAATGTTTTCAAAGTAACCTACAAATATCTGCACACGTATTTACTCACCTATAGGACCATGGAGAGATGCTCCGGTCTTGGATCAGATCTGATGTCTGATTAACACTCTTGGGGCAATTCTTTAACTCAAGGTCTGGAGTAATGTCCTGTTTGTTAAGATAGAGGAGAGCATCTGGAGCCAATCGGATAAGTCTCTGTTTTAAATGTTCATGTGAAGGTTGTTTACATCTGGTATGTGTTCCATGGCTCTGAGTCCATGGTATCATGACAATGATCAATAAAAGGAACTTCATCTATAAAAACCAAAGGAGAGAAAAAAAGATACATTAAGCTGCTTTACAAAGACGAAGCAGACATAAATAAAAGCAAAAACAAAAAACCCCCAACAATTAATTGCCTGACAGGTCCCTTGAAAATACCAGAATGTGGTTATTTAATGACCTCTACTGGAGAACCATTCAATTCTGTCAAGATCTGCTTGCAATGAAACATATTTTTAATATAAGCCCTGAGTACCTACCCCACCCATTGACGCTTAGGGAAAACCTCTGTTTTCCCAGCCAGAGTAGGATACTAACTCATATTTTCTAAGAATTATAAATGAAATATAATAATAAAAAACTTGTAACTGCATCCCAACTCCCCCTTGTAACAGGTCCAGAGTGACTAAAAAACACACATTAGACCCACCCATCTTTCGCTCACCCTCGGCCCTGACATAGGACCCCAAGGTAACGCACACTGGAGTCTTGATCACTTCCATTACGTATACCCAACTTGATATGTGGCAGCCTTAGTACTCCCCTTTTTACTCCTCACCCCCCTCTTTGATACTACTTCCCTTATTCACCAGTCTGCATGTGTTTTACTAGACTACAGGGAACTACGACTATACGGCAGACGGAACCTAGACCCCAACCAATTACATGATGGGACATACCCCTACACTCATCAAATTGTATCTGAATGGCATCGGTGGTTCTCACCACTTTTCCTACAAAAACGAATCATGCTTTTAGACCTTGGCCTTTGCAATCCGCAAACAAAGGAACATAGCCCAGAGGGCACATCACCTCTGGCACAAGTAACACCTGCAAAACAGACCCCATATTTAGGGTTGGTGGCCTCTCTGTTTCTGCCGTATATCTGATGATTCACATGACAGTGTATATGTAGATATGTTGTTGGTACTTTACCACTGTATTCAGCTATCACTGCCTGCATCTTAAACATGCAATTGTTGAAATAAAAACCTTAAAAAATTAATTAAAAAAACCTGACATAACAGTATGTCAAAATGCATGTACTACTCTATACAGACTACGAAAAACTTCACTTTCAAGCTTCAGGGTAAAGGGTTAATGCCTAAAGGAGCAAAACAAGGACCTTAGTCATCATACAGAACATAACCCAAAAACGATGCCCTACCCATCTACCAATAAGTAATATTTTAGTGTCTTTGGTACCTGTTCACTTAATTTTGCCATTTGGTACTTTTTGCCATAACTAAAATGTATCAAGGTAACACTTCAAAGACCTAGAGATATGTATTCAGATTCATATTATGACTTGGCCTTCCCAGAAACCGTACTGACGTGCTACAGTCTCTAATGAATTTCCTCTCCAGTCGCTCCTTTCACACCTCACTCCTCTGTCAGTCTTTACATTGACTTCCTTCCTTGAGTCAATTCAAAATACTAATCCATACCTACAAGGCACTGAACAACTCTAGCCCCTGTAATATCTCTTCACTGATTCATAGGTATGACCCTTCTCTGTTCTGCGAATGACCTTCTCTTGTCCGCTGCTTCCACCCTTACTGTTAACTCGTACTTGCGGGACTTCTCGTAGGCAGCTCCTTTCTGTTGGAACAGCCTGCCTACCACCAACAGACTCTCCCCTAGTCTTCAATCATTTAGAACGTGCTCAAAACCCATCTCTTCAGGATAGCTTATGGCCTCCAAGAGTAACCTCTACCTCACATACATGACCCTTACTCTCTCCTATTGGGCAGTGCTTTACTCTCTCCTTCAGTTCTGCTTCACTCCCACCTTGTTTGATGCTACCCCATGTCCTAATGTGTGTTTTTTTTTTTTGCAGTGCATAGCAAGTGATACAAGCATGTCTGAGGTGCCCCAGAAGCAGTCCTCAGGCTTTTCCTCACTTAACATGCGGGACATATGGATAACAGGGACATTTTTATATTTTAAGCAGGCTTTTTTTAAATAGGTCATTATACAAGCTAATCAGTCAAGTCTAGCTCCTATAGATTGGTACTTATGCTGGCATAAGATGTTTAACTAACAAGGTATATCTTCAGTATTGTTGCTTGCCTAACTGGTTATACATGGATAAACACTTTACAGAGGGATAGAAAGTGTAAAATAGAGGTTACTAGCTAGGACATCTGAACATGTATAAGAACAGGGTAAACCATGGGTTAAAGCACGTAACAGTTTGCACAATCAGGTAAGGTGGCTACTATTAGTGTATAGTGGGTCTGGTAACTTAGGCACGGAAGGGTATGTCCAGTTCAAGTTCAGCCGACTCCTGACATCGGGAAACATTGGTGATCTGTTGGGCAGTCCCTCAGGGTCTTGAGCAGATGTGGGGGCCAGTGGGACTGAGTGGTCACAGGGGGTCCAATTTTGGTTGTTGTCGGTACCTTCCTCTGTTTTAGTCTGCATTTCTCTGTGTCCCGTAGTTTGCTTGAGCGCCACTGTGTAGGCTTCCCCTTCAACAGCACTTGTCTCCCCAGATGGCGGCTTGTAGGTGTGGGTGGTATGTTCCGTTTGCCTGGTCACTTCCAGCGAGCCGGTCTCTTGGGTGGCTCCAGACCCAGAGAGACGGTTGCCGCTAATGGTGCGTGCTGGACCCCGTGGAATGCTGCTATGCGATTCACGGCCATTTTGGGCTGTCCGCCTCTGGACTTTTGCTGGGGGTTCCCGTTGGTGACCATTCGCTTTTGCCGCCATTTTCACCCAGAAGGCTTCCAAGATAGCTCCAAGCTTAGCCTCTAGGCTCCCCTGGGGCACTGTCCTGCTTTGAGTGGTTAGTCTCTTTGTTTGGCTGTGGCAGGTATGTGAATCCAGTATTTTGAGCATCTGAATATATTCCGTGGTTCCGCTGCATCTTCCGCTGGGAGCCATCCGCTCTGTAGGCAGTGAAATACGGACCGGGATATCCCCCCGGTCCAGAGGGGGGGAAGTGGAGCTCTGTGTGGTCCTGCTGGGTGAGGAGATCTGGGATGGGAGATCGGCCGCCTCTCCTGCACGTAGCCCCCGCCAGGCTGAAACCGCTCTGCAAGGCTTTTGGCAGTCAGCATCCCAGTTTTTCGGACCGGAACACTCCAGCCGTCGTCTGTGTTAGGTAAGTCGCTTTTGGGGTCCAGCAGTGAGCGGCAGGAGTTTCGATTTGTCGCTTGGGCAGGTAGTGTGCTTGGGAGCTCCTGCAAGTTGCCACCGTCCGCCATGCTGGTCCAGCCCCGCCCCCCGTCCTAATGTGTTTTATATCCCACCTCTTCTAGACTGTAAGCTCGTCTGAGCAGGGTCCTCTTCAACCTACTGTTCCTGTAACATGTTGTACTTGTCTCATTTATTGTTAAATTTCCCCCTCTTATAATATTTTAAAGCGCTGTGGAATATGTTAGCGCTACATAAATGCCAATAATTAATAGATATTCAAACCCCCACATAAAAATGTAAAGACCCTTGAGTATTGCAGCAAACAGGTGAAAACTGCTTGAGTGTTGCATTAGCAACTGAGAATAACGTGATAAAAAGCACATATGCGTTCTACTGTCTTATGATTCTGTCTGTGAGACTACATACACACATAAAAACATCAGCTTCGAAGCTCCATGTACCAAAAAAACTAAACATAACATAACATGTAGCAGCCATGGGGTTGTGTAATGTCTGTTTCCTTTTTCACTGTCTGTTTCCTGGAATAGAGATTTTATTTTCCAGAAAGGTTAATTTATGCAGATAAGTGTTCCTTAGACTAACAGAATAGTATATGAAAGTCCAACAATATTTCCTGGATTAGCCTGTTGGAATGAGAAATGTCTCTAAGTATATGCTGACCGTCTTTTTGTTGCATAGAAAAAAGGGAATTAGGTGCATACCCGTAACATGCACATCTAAAAAGTGGTGCTGTCGTAAAGACCAAAATATATACAAAATACAGATTAAGGAACAGTGCACACACAAAAAATAATACAGTTTTAAATTTTACAAATCTGCTTACAAATCCCCTATCTCAGCAACCAAATATGGGGATTCAGTTCCGCCTCATAGCCATAGTGTGTTAAGCCCACCACTACTTCACAGTACCCCAATACAAGGCGGTCCTACACTAATTTTAACCTGGCGGAAGAATTATAAAAATTGTTGGCAAAATGCACCAAAGTTATATATAGATGGAAACACGACAAACCGATAGAATTGATTAATAAATGGAAAAAAGAATTGCAAGAACATATAGCAGAAGAAGAGTTGATAGATTCCTTAATCAAATATATATAAACATATACATTGCTTAAATCTTACTGAAAGCAATTCAAACTCTCAAACAGATGGTACCTAACACCTAAAGAAAATCTTCCCAGAGTCATCAGACAGATGCTGGAAATGTAATGTTAATGAAGGCAATCTGATTCATACATGGTGGCATCGTGCACCCATAAACACATTCTGGAAAGATATAATCAATGTGATATAACAGAAATGAAATTAGCATTTAAGCCTGAAGTGGTCCTGTTATACCTGAACTGGCCAAAAATGACAAAAAAAGAAACTAATGTTGACACTACATATTATTACGGCAGCTAAATTACTTTTAGCACGAAACTGAAAAACAGTGACAATGCCATGCACCCAAGAACTAATTAAACAAGTCATATGGCAGGCAAAAATGGAAAGGGGTATCCTGGTGAACTTAGGAAATAAATATACTCAGATAGAAGACTGGGATACATGGATAAACAAAATGGAAACGTGAACCAAACAAATAAAATTCCATAGAGTTAAAAAGTGACCCCTCTTCCCCCTGATTCTTTATTTATTTTTTGTTTTTGGGGGGGTTAAATAACTACAAACTGGAGCTGGAAGTAATATCGTATTTCTCCTCTCTCCTGACCTTAGTATGTAATAATCAAGTTGGGTATAACTGATGTTCAGTTTCCGGGAGGGGAGGTAACAGGGAAGAGGAGAGGAGGAAATGGGATAAACGTATAGAACTCACCAAAACGGGCAGATAAACAGAATAACAAAATGAATTGTAATATAATGGATGCAAGATGTGCACTCTCTCTCCAAAAGTAAGCAGGAAAAGAAGATTGATAGATAGGAACTTTACAAAAGGATTTAAAAAATAGGGTGGGGGCAGGGGGGTATATGGGTGGGATATGGGGAGTTTCAGAAGAAACATTGAAACATTTAATAAATTAACCAGGAGATATTTATGATGACAAGAGTACAAAGGCCTGAATTATTGAAGCATCAGCAAATATAATACAAGGCAAGTACATGTCTGAAATAAAAAAACATAAAAAAAAAAACATTTTTAACCTGGCAGATTAACATGCTAGCTGTAATTTTATGTCAAGACAGGAGGCTTCATATTTGCTTATCTTTCTTTACTCAACCTCCCAGCAGCAAAGAAATAGTTAACAATGATGTACAACATTTAACCAATCAGAGTGTACAAGCATAGAATATAGTGTCCTCAAGCTCCTCCCACTTCCTCTTTCTTTGCTGCTTGCCTCCCAGGTGAGTCTACTCCAATTATATTGCCTTTTGTTTTAGGCTAATTATATATTTGTTTATACTGTTTTAAATTTTTTTTTTTTATCACAATTCACCTTTATATGGGACACACTTGTTTACACAGGTCCTTTTTACCTCATTACTAGTCACTATTACCACAATAATATTCACATCATCCACATTAATTCTTTTCATGACTAACTTCCACTTTAAATATCTGGCGACCTCCGTTCCCACACAGAGGTTTGCCTGAATTATTAATTATATCTGGCCATGGCTCTCTCCTCAGACGAGACCGCAGCCCATCACAATCTGCTATCTGTCGCGGACTTTACTTCCCATGAGTCCGCGGCTGTGCTTTCCCGCCCTTTTCAACTAACCGCCTACTCGCGACGCGCATTGTTCCCGCCCTTCCTTTGCGGCGGCCATTTTCCGACGGCTTTCTCCCGCTCGTTCAACACTGCGGTTGGCTAGATAATGGTCGGAATTATCCCAGACGCTCACCGGATCGGTAAGTACCTACTGAGTCCCTGAATACATTTTTTTGTGTTTTCTCTAATTCGGACCCTGTGTTTCATTTTGCCCTTTTTTTTCCTTTCAGACTTCTTTCAAAAAAATACTTCTGCTTTGACAATAAAGCAGGGCTTTTTGTGGGTGACCCCCACTGTTGCATTCAATTGTCTGTGTATATTTGTGGGTGACCCCCACCATCATTTAATAATAAGTGTATTAACCACTTAAGATCCTACTGCACTTTTCAATTTGAGTCTATTTGTGGGTGACGCCCAATTTCAATAAACACTATAGTGTTTTACCCACTTAATACTTCTGTTTATTATATGGGTGAACTAGCCTTTGAACTTATTAAGAGTGCTAACTCACTCAAATAATTTTTCGACTTATACACACACACCTTAAGGTGTCAAATACTCCAGGGTGACCCACAACTCCAGTGTATTTTTTAGCTGTTGTGGTTTATTCCACTTACTATAAGTTAGTGGTCAACCCACTAACTGCTATATTGCCGCATTTACAATTATTCCTTAAACATAGTGGGTGACCCTACTAATTGCATAGTTGTTTAACTTATTTTAGTTATTACAATCTACCACAGACCAAACATGTCTGACCAAGCTGAGCCTGCAATCTCGCAAGAACTGCGCACCTGGCTCATTTCCACTATTATGGAATCCATCCCTAAAGCTTTAGCAGCTTTTCACGCTAAATCTTCTACTGAAGTTAACCCCACCATACGCCTCCCCTCCGACTCCGATGACTCTTAGCCTTCGGATTAGGAGGAGGTATCACGTAAACGTCCCTGGAAAGGGAATAGTGCATCGTCAGGAAAGGGCAAGGCTTCCGCCAAGTCCCTTAAACTCTCATCCTCCCGTCCAGCCCAGGCCACCTCAGACCCTTTAGAGCGTTCTACCTCTATGGCTGATGACTATTATCTCGTTTTTTCTGATGGGGAGTCCACAGCGAATGCGCTACCTGATCCCACATCAGAATTTGTTAAAGAGACCTACCTAGATACAAATTCAGATCGAAATCCTCTAAAAATCATCCTTCTGGATACGTCGGGCGCTCCCTTTTTCGATCCTATGGTCATTAAACACCCTCGTTCAGCCGAATGGGCCCCAACTGCCTACATAGCCAAATTTTGCAAAATGTGGCTACGAAAGCCACTTGATAAAGAAGTACGTGCCAAACTCAGAGCCGAATGCCCTCGGCCTACCATACCTAACAAAGTGGCTCTCGAATTCGACCACATGTTAGTAACCTTCCTCAATAGAACAGGCAAAGATCCTCATAAGGGCAAATTTTTATTTTAGCTGATGAAACTACTAACACTGGAGAATATGATGCACATTCCGTGCGAGAATGTGCCCAGAGGGCTTTATGCTTCTTGTGTAATGCCAACATGTCCTCAGAGAGGCGCAAAGCGACATTATATAAGATTGATGCTAAGTTAGCAGACCTAGGATCCCTAGAATTGGGACCTGAAGCCAATGGCTTACTTTTTTTATAAGAGACCTATCAAAACATGTATCGGTCTTTACTACCTTGACCAAAACCCAATCCTCACAGTATTTCGCTCACAGTCACAGCATTTCTCCGGGAGAGCTGGGTGTTACAGAGGACGAACGACCAGCAGAGCAGCCTTCACAGGCTAAAGGCCTCGTCCCACGGACAACTATTGGAGCTCAGGAACTACTCGCCCATACCATCAGCAGTTGGTTACCAACAGGGGATCCATACGAGGGCGTGGATCTGCTTCCCTACGTGGACGCACTGCTCCAGGTAACAACCCCTTTTTCTCTCAATATTCCTATAGCAGGCCGACTAACCCATTTTTTTCAGCAATGGGAATTGCTTTCACAAGATCTATGGATCCTAAACACTGTCAGGGGTTACAAAATAGACTTCCTTTCCACTCCTTTTCAGGATACACCACCCACACCTCTGAGAATGTCCACAACAAACGACCTCACATTACAAGTAGAATTACACAAACTCATGGACAAAGGAGCAATCGAAAGATCGCCTTTCCCACACACATTCATCAGCAACATCTTCCTGGTTCACAAGAAGACAGGAGATCTTCGCCCTATTATCAATTTAAAAGACCTGAACCAACAGGTCAGTTACCGACACTTCAAGACATCCATCTTCTAAGGGACCTCCTCTGCGTGGGAGACTGGTTTTCGAGATTCAATCTCAAGGATTCTTATCTCACAGTCCCTGTAGCTCGCAACCATCAAGCCTTTCTTCAGTTCCTCTGGCAAGGGGAGATTTGGCAGTTCACTTGCCTGCCTTTCGGCCTTTGCTCGGCGCCATGGTGTTTCACCAAACTGATAAAACCAGTGATGGCGCTACTCCGATCGCAGGATACGATCCATTATCTATCTAGACGACATTCTGATCATGGCTCAGAATCCAACTCTGCTCCGCCTACATACAGACATGACAACCGCATTGCTACAAAACCTAGGGTTTGTCATAAACTTCCAGAAATCGGCCTTGGAACCCTCACAGACGGTTCAATTCCTTGGGTTTCTAATAGATTAGATAGAAGCACACTTAGAATTGCCTTCCACGAAAATAAAGTCCTTAAAGAGAGACATCCGCAAATTACTCTCATTCCAAAACATTTGCTTATGCAATTTGGCTCACACCATAGGCCTTCTGTCAGCCTCCATCCAGGCTATTTACCCAGGACCATTACACTATCGAGCCATGCAGTGGCTCAAAACATACTACCTACACCGGTCCACTTCATACGATCAGTTGATCTTCCTCACAGACGAAGTTTGCATAGAACTCCACTGGTGGCTCCACAACATGGAAGCTTGGAATGGCAAAGCCATATTCAGATCCCAACCAGACTTTGTCCTGGAATCCAATGTCAGCCTCCTAGGTTGGGGCGCCACTTGCTCAGAAAGGTCCACCAGGGGAATATGGTCCCCCTCAGAACAAGTCCTACACATCAATTGTCTGGAGTTAATAGCAGGATCATTTGCGATACGCAGTTCCCGCCTTTCTCCATGATACAACACACCCTCTACCGGGTCAAAACTCTGGGAGTGACGATAGTCATTGTAACTCCATTATGGAGGGCCCAGACCTGGTATCCAACTCTCCTGGAGCTATCTGTGAATTATCCAATTCTACTGCCCCAGTACCACGACATCCTCAGGAATCCAGCAGGGGACTGTCATCCTCTCGCTCTTCAGGAGAGACTCCAATTAGTTGCCTGGACCGTTTCAGGGGATCCTGGAATGTGTCAGGACTTCTGACAACAGCTCGGACACTCCTATGGGATTCCTGGGCACCAGGCAGTAGACGCGCCTACCTTTCTGCTTGGCAGACATGGGTCAGCTGGTGTTTGGAAAGGGATATCGATTCCTTTTCAGCATCTCTCACGGCCTTCTGAAATTCTTATTCGCCTTATTGGATCAAGGCAAATCCTACAGATCGATCAATGTGTTTTGATCCGCTATTTCAGCGGCTCACAACTCTATTGACAACGCTTCCATAGGTAAACACCCCTCTTTCTGTAGACTCTTGAGAGGAATTCGACTGGCTAGACCACCCCAGCCAAGGTATTCCTCCTTTTGGGATGTCACCCAAGTCTTCGAATTCTTGGAATGCAGGAGCCCCAACAAAGCTCTGACACTTCGACAACTTTCAGCCAAACTAACATTACTTCTATGCCTAGTCTCCTTTCGTAGCGTTTCGGATATACGAGCATTTGACCTTCATACTGTAAGTTTTACACCTGAAGGGGCCAAATTTAACATCACCAGGCGCACAAAAAAAAAACCTCTTCTTCAGTTTTCTAACTCTTCTTCAGTCACTTTACTGAGAACTGTCACGAATTCAAAGTGAATTAAAAGGGATTTTGAAATTTAAGGCCAACGTTGCCAAACTGGACAAATTCTCCAAGTCAAGTATGCACCCATACTTTGACCAATTCCTAACAATTCTCACATTTGTGATTAACCCTGTAAGAATCTCCTAGATTTACTACAGGTGAGAGTACTGAGTGAGGAATATACTGGCAGAATATTTTTAGGGCTTTAATTATTGCACTTTGTTTATGCTGACATAACAAAATAAACATTTGAAATGCACATTTTCAACCCTTATTTTCTAACAATTGCAAACATCTCATTCTTACCCTAAGGCATGTTTTATAATACTGTCCATGAGAGAAACTGATCTGCAATTTTAATTTCTCATATAATGGCACAGTTTCACAGTCTATCTTTTGTACATCTTGTTAAAGTTTCAATAAAACATTAATGTTTGAAATAAAATATTTTTATGCATTCTCCAATTGCCTTCTGAAGACACATTACTTAAGAGCAATGAAAAGTTCACGTGACTTAAGAATAAATACACCTGTGTCTGGACCGCCCTGGAGATTGTTAGAAAGCATATTTAAGCCAACAGTAATATGAAAACCAAGATGTTCAAGGAAAACAAGTCCAAAACAAGTTTTATAGAAAGTCTCTAACTTTTTACCTCATCGAGAGCAGTGGTCCCCAGCCCAGTCCTCATGAACAGTTCAGGATTTATGTATTTCCCTTTTTTATTCAAATAGAGATACTGACAAAACCTGGACTGTCGTCCATGAGGACAGGGTTGGGGACCACTTATCTAGACACGGGGTAGGCATGTTTGGTATTATATGAGATGTAGTCCACAACAACTGAGTACTGAAGGTTGTCTACCCTAGATCTAGAATATTAAATCCACAATTAAACTGGAAAGAATATGACACAGCTACAACTCTGCCCAGATATCATAATCCACCAAAACTGAGCATCAGGCCAATTGAAACAATATTCCACTTAGAGTTTGCCAAAAAGTGTGTCGGAGAGACAGCAATCATATGGAAAAATGTCTGAAGAGACACAAGTCATCTGATGGGCTGAGTTATCTGGCTGGGTTCTATGTTGGGGAAACCTAAGATTTTTGCTAATCTGATTGAATAATCAAGCACAATATGTATTGCGTTATAGTGTTCATGTGTTCATGCACACAAAAAGTACTATAACTAGAAAAGCTAAAATTTCTGGGGAAATTGTGTGAAGTGTTGTTGCCTCCACCAGTAGTCTACTACTGGAGTGGGCGGAGTAACTGTTATTATTTCTTTATATAGCAAATTTAATTGCAATGCTGTTGCCCAAAGTGCTTCACAGTTACATTAAAACATACATTCATAAAAACATTAGCAGGTGTACAAAAGGCCCTGTCTATGACATCACTTGCTTCTCCAACTATACATCCTACACCCACTCTAGTTTTGAACATTTTGCCATTCACTCCTATGGGACCAATTTCGCCACAAGAACGACGATATTCCGTGAACCATTCGGCGAAATGTTCCACAAAGTAATAACACACCAATCGGGAACAATCTGCACGTTTCGGTATATTACGGTCTATGTAGTGTAAAAACTGTGGGAGGAGTTAGGGTGCTAAATTTGGCTATAATAAGAATAAGAATAATATATATGCAAGAACACTTAATAATAATAATAATATAAATGTGAGATAACATTAAGTGGTCTTGCTATGCAAGAACACTTAATAATTATAACCTAAACTGCTGAGGTTGTTAAAAACAAAAAGGGTGATACAACATGTGGAAGGTTTTAAAGCTCCAATAAAAAGATTTCAAGTCAACGATTAATAATTTGTAGACTTTAGGAACTAAAGAGACACGTTTATATGACTTTTTTATAGGCGGTATATATGTAGAGCATTCATAAACATCTAATTTATATACTCTGGAGTAAGCAGAAATATTTGTAGGAACCATGCCTCAAATGTTCAGCTAATTGTTAAGCTGTGTCTTAGGTGACAAGTTCATTATAAATTTATAAATCTATTTATTTAAATTTAAGGTGTATTGCAGATTACCGGGACATGATTCAGAGTTTTGGTTGTGAGAAGTTGATGAAAGGTGGAAGTACTTGAAGAGTGACTGAATGTGAGAAAAGAAGGAGACAACAGAAACCAGAAATCAAGCCATTTCAAAGAAACGTTTATACATGTGGAATGAAAGTAATGTGCTGTTTCAATTGCTGAACTAGGACTTGCGAAACTTGTGTCAGAAAATCTTAGACCGCATCAAAAAATTCCACAAGGTGTCTTATGCAGATTGGAGAATTTCAGTCAGAAAATGAAATGAATATGGTTTTAACTTTTATTATATAGACTGTTCTTTACCTCACTTCAGTAAAATCAATTGAATGTAAAGATAAACACATAAGTGGGCTGGGATTATATAATATATTATACAACAATTATTATACTATATATATAATACATCAATCAAATGGAATTATTTTATATACATATATACACACACACGTACCAATCTGATTGGTAATTTGTGCATTCTTTAGAGCAGGGGTGCCCAAAAGGTAGCTCCCCAGATGTAGAACTACAACTCCCATAATGCTTTGCATGCCTTTAGAAAATCAATTGAAGTGTTTACTGGATAAGGTGTGTATTGGAGGTAAATTATTATCATTATCTAGTGCGGTGGAGGTAAAAAACACTTACCTCCACGGCACTAGATAATGGCTACCACAATCATCCCGACATATTCTGTCCTGATGTGGAATTCCAGTAAAATCTAATTTTATTTAAGATGGAAATAAAACTGATATTTCCATTCACGGTTTAAAGACGCACACTGAGACTGACAGGGTTATTAACAAAAATAAGAATTCAAAGAGAATTCCAAATCCAAGGAATAAAATATTCGGCTACTTTGGCCTGAAATGTGAAATCTCTCTGAATTCTCAGTTTAGTGAATAATCCTGTATACACATCCATCTAAAGATCACTTTCTTTCACTGTCAGGCTGCCAATCGGCATGCTTTACTCTTTAAAGCGGGGCTGCCCGAAAGTCATATGCCCAGGTGTTTTAAAACTACAGCCTCCATGATACTTTGCAATTCTAAAGTCATGCTAAGCATCATGGGAGTTGTAGTTCTACATCTGGGGAGCTACCTTTTGGGCACCCCCTGCTCTAAAGAATGCACCAATTACCAATCAGATTGGTACGTGTGTGTGTCTATATGTATATAATATAATCCCATTTGATTGGTGTATTATATATATAGTATAATAATTGTTGTATAATATATTATATAATCCCAACCCACTTGTGTGTTTATCTTTACATTGCAGGGACAAAACAATGCTGCAGGTCTAAATTCTTTAAGTTAATAACCCTGTAGGAGACACTGAGCATATCTCCGAAACTGTATCATAGTGTCAGCTTTATGGTGTCAGGAGATACCCCATCGTAATTTACATATACAAACAATCATGAATGCAGCATAGATACAATAACAAGTTATTTAAAGAGGGATTTACTTGTCAGACAATAGAAAATTAAATCCCTGCTTGTTTTTGCTTTTTACCAAGATCAATAATAATTAAAAAAAAAAAATTATACCTTTTCAACTAGGTAAGTAAGCATCAACCCTGTTACAACTCGTTATTTATTGCAATTAAAAGTTGCAAAAGATAGCACTCCAAGGACTTATCTAAAATATAACTTTTATTTACCTTCAATAAAAATCACACTGTCAACGTTTCACCTTGATCCCCTCAAGCTTTCATCAGGAAAGCTTAAAGGGATCAAGCTGAAACGTTGACAGTGTGATTTTTATTGAAGGTAAATAAAAGTTATATTTTAGATAAGTCCTTGGAGTGCTATCTTTTGCAACTTTTGTGTTTTTGGCTGACAAGCACCGGGCATTACATATATTTGGTATTGGTGGAGTGCAAGATTTTTCCGATTTATATATATATATATATATATATATATATCATTTTTATTTTTTTAAAGTGTAACTATGAATAAATAAAATAAAATAGCATTTTGCAAGTCTATAAATGTTAACAAAGAAATGAACGTGGTTGATAATTATTATTATTATTTATATAGCGCCAACAAATTTTGCAGCCCTTTACAGTATAAAATTCACTGTCATACTCATTGGAATACTTTGGAGGATATATTTTTAGTGTTTAATATTAATATTCAACAGGTTTATTTACTTGAAACCAAAAGGTGATTCAAAAAAAACAAGACTACACGTTTTTTTTTTTTCCACAGCAGTCGAATAAAAGTAAACCAAGCAAAATAAAGATATGATTTGAAGAGAAAAAAACTAATGGAAAATGGAAATTTTCATGACTGAGCTTATATGTATCCCGAACAACAACAAAAAGTTTAAATGAACACAAACAATCTCTGTCTATCTTTAAATATTTTATTTGGGTAATACCTGTTACAGCTTCACAAACAGGTTTTCCTGATTGGAATGAGGACAGGTGTTACAGCCCATTACTCTTTGATGTGACTACAGGGTCAGGAATGCAGCAATGTGTGTGTGTGTATGATATATATATATGTGCATTTAGAAAATATATATATATATGTCATAATAGTTAAAATTCATATCTTGAAATACCTTTTTTTATTTTTAATTGTCGTTTTAACCCCTGTATCACAACTCAACTTTGAATTCTATGTGTCGTCTTGCTCAGAAATGCTTCAGAGTTCAGAAAGGGAGGTTCTCCCGAAAGCTTGTCATTAAAAAATTCTGTTAGTCCAATAAAAAAGGTATTACAAGATAAGAATTTTATCTGTTTTTTACATCTACATCACTGGACTAATACGGCTACAATATCTACTTGAACATCATAATAGTTAGATAAACAGAGAGATAGCTTTCTTTTTTTAATTTTTGCAATTATTAGGAATGGTCCCAGACTGCAAGTCAATGGTTATTATTGTACATTTGCAATTTTTTTCTTTTAACGGTGATTAAATAAAGTAAGTGCTTTTTAGATTTTTCTAAGAAGGACCCCTTGCGTGCTTTGACATTTTTGTTTGTACACAATAAAGAGCAAGTTAATACACATAAATATATATATATATATATATATATATATATATATATATATATATGCCTGTGTACATATTAAATACAATATTGCAATGAAATGAAAATCTTAAATATAAATATATAATATATGAAAAAAAGAATTTCCATTTCTAAGGGAGTTTGGCAAATTTTAAAAAATGTGCTATATTTGCTTAAATATTGCATCTTGATTTCTATGTGCACAGAAATGTGAAATCTATTGCTCAGATTTTCTCATAAAAATGATAATAATATAAATAAATAAATAAATAAAATAAAAATATATATATTTAAAATTTTATACACTTGTGTACCTATGCACCTTTTATATTTTTTTTTGTTTATAGAAAGATGTACAAATGTAGAAGAAATAAGATGTACCAATGAAAAAGATTGCTTAAACCGTTAACCCTTTCTCCACTATTATCTTACGGACACGTGCCAGTCTTTTTCACAATGTCTTGATAGTTACTTGTAACCCCAAAAAGCAGGGCAAAATCTTAGAATTGGTCTTCACACGTTTAATGTTATCATTTATCCATTAACAGAAAAAAGGAGAAAAAAACAAACTATTGTAAATAAATGTCCATCCACTCTTATCTCTCATATATAGCCAAAGCTTAACCAGAACTTACCTTCATGTGCCAAATCCTGATTCTGAGACTTTAAATGAAGGAGCGAGGAACTTGTTTGCGAAATGGTATCACCTCTTACCTTTATAACCTTCCTTCTTGTGACATCAGCTTTGAATATGATAGGGTAGTCAGAGCCAGCTTCCTTATTGTGATTTTTTTTTAATAGTAACCTGAAACTCAGCAAACAGCAGGTTCATGTATTCATGCTTGAATGCCAAAAGGGAACAGGTTGCACATTGACACACCCAGATTTGTCATAACTACTCTGTGTGCACTTTGCACCTAACACGTTTGTACTAAAAGGTCCTGCCTAATTCAGGGGAAAGTTACAGAACAGACAGTTGTATATGAAAGTAATGCTTTTCTAATTGATAAAGAGGGGTACTTTTGTTTTACAAGATATATCGGGGTTCTACCATTATCAAGAATGTTAATTTGACTTTTGTGGCCTATCTATTATCTATAGTGGTTTATCTGATGGGGTAAAAACAAAGTTTGAAAAAAAATTATTTATATAAATCGGACAATATACATAGCAGTGAAAATACCTAAATATATATATATAAAAAAACACAAACCATTCATACAAATAACATAAATAAAACTACTTTTTAACCCCTTAAGGACTGGACCTTTTTTGCGATGTTGTACATTTGCGACCAGGCATATTTTTACACTTTTGTGGTGTTTGTGTTTGGCTGTAATTTTCCGCTTTCTCATTTACTGTTCCCATACAAATTATATATTGTTTTTTTCAGGACAAAAGGGGCTTTCTTTACATACCATTATTTATATAAACTCATGTATTTTAATTTAAAAAAAATAAAAAAATATGATGAAAAATTGAACAAAATACATGTTTTTTTACTTTTACTTGAAAAATCTTTTACTCATCTACAAAAGCGAATGAAAAAAACTGCTAAATAGATTCAAAATTTTGTCCTGAGTTTAAAAATACCCAGTGTTTACGTGCTTTTTTTGCTTTTTTTTGCATGTTATAGGGCTATAGGTACAAGTAGGATATTGTGGTTTCAAAACATACATTTTTAAAATTTATCAATAGTGACATTGTAACACTATTATCTGTCATAAATCTCTGAATAACACCCCACATGTACATATTTTTTTAAAAGTAGACAACCCAGGGTATTCAATATGGGGTATGTCCAGTCTTTTTTAGTAGCCACTTAGTAGAAAACACTGGCCAAAGTAAGCATTCATATTTGTTTGTGTGTGAAAAAAGTAAAAAAACTAAATTGAACGCTAATTTTGGCCAGTGTTTGTGACCAAGTGGTTACTAAAAAAGACTGGACATACCCCATTTGCAATACCTTGGGTTGTCTTCTTTTGCAAATGGTATGCCATCATGGGGTAATTCTCATTCCTGGGCTACCATACGCTCTCAAAGGCAACGTAACCAACCTGGCCATTTTCAATGTAAAAATATTTTACCCATATATTTGACCTTGTAACTTTCAAAAATGCTATAAAACCTGTACATGGGGGGTACTGTTTTACTCGGGAGACATCGCTGAACACAAATATTAGTGTTTAAAAACTGGAAAACGTATCACAACAATTATATCATCAGTAAAAGTGCTGTTTGTGTGTGAAAAATGCAAAAAAAGTAATTTTCACTGACAATATCATCGCTGTGATATGTTTTACTGTTTTGAATCACTAATATTTGTGTTCAGCGAAGTCTCCCGAGTAAAACAGTACCCCCCATGTACAGGTTTTAGGGTGTCGTAGAACGTTACAGGGTAAATACAGTGCTAGCAAATTAAATTCTCTGGAATTTCGGCCTGGGTTGGCAGGCAGGTCCCTCAAATTGCAATCAATAAAATTACTGAAATATGTAAAAATATTACATAAATACGCACGTAGAATTTAAATATATATGCATATTTATATATTTGAAGTCTACGTGTATATTTATATAATTATTTATGTAATTTTGTATATGGACATGTATATTTCGTATTATTTTTATTTATTTTATATACATAGATATATATACAAATTCATTCTAAGTGTATTTTGATATAAATATATATATATTAATTTTAAAATACAGTTAGAATAAAATTTCATATAGATATATAATTTTTTTTACATTTTTTATTATTATTTAAAAAAAATATATTTAATTTAAATTACTTATTATTTATATTTTATAATGATATATATATACAATATATATAGTTATTATATATATTATATATATACGTGTGTAATTTAATTATAAGTGTATTTTTATATTAATATAAGTACATATTAATATAAAAATACACTTAGTATGACATTATATATATATGATATATAGACATATATTATATAGATATAATATATGTCTATATATCATATATGTATACACATATATAATTATTTTTTTTTATTAACACTATCTTTATTTTTTTTTCTGATTTTACACTAGCAGGGAGACTGCCTGTCAGCACAGACTGTCCCTTGCAGGCAGACACATGGACACCTATTGTGGCCATGTGATCGCTGTGTTGAGCGATCACATGGCCACAGGGGTCCTAATTCAGTGTGGGGAGACTGTCTGGGCTGCAGGCAGTCTCCCCACAACCGGAGCAACACTGATCGCCGCCGGGGGAACGACGGCGATCAGGTAAGTACCTCTGACCGTTAGGACGGTTCAGGACCGTCATCGGTCTGCAAGGCAAAAATGCCGAGGACGGTCCTGAACCGTCCTCGGTCGCGAAGGGGTTAATAGTAATTTTATTAAGAGAATAATAATAGGAATCAACAAGTCAATAAAAATGCACAAAAATAAGTCCTGCGCTCAAACTCCCACTACTTCTGGGTGGCAGCAATGACCATAGCACCAATAAATACGCTAAAAACCAAAGAAAATATAGCCCAAATCCCTATGCATATTTAAATGGAGGTTATTTAGTAAATCCCAATTTCTCTCTGTTTTTTTTTTTCCTTGAGTGTGTTTTTTTTTTTATCAATCAGTAAATAAGCTCGGATTTTAAAAGTTATAAAGAAAAAGAACATATGAAAAGGTCTACAGGTCAGGAGTATAATCAATGCTAATAAATCAATTTCTTTGTTTACTTAATACAACGAAAAGGGTGGATCAACCTTTAGTAACCTAAAGACGGGAGCAAAAAATAAAGAAAGAAAACAGGGAGTGGGAGGAATCGATACAAATATGATGGTAAATAAGAAAAAGGTATGGTATACAAGCATGGGAATTTTGGAGTTTGGTGTATAGTGAACAGAAGATTATGGTTTGGTGGCAATAACAAAAAGGATAAATACAATTTCAACTGAGAACATCCAACTCTATGTTGGAAATTGTGGAGTAATCTCCCGTGGAACCCAAGTAAGAATTCAAACTGTTCTAAAACTCTTTGACAACTTAGGGCATCCCTGGCACCATAAACACTTCAGTGTGTTGTAGTGGTTGTGGGGCTTAGAGTCTTTAAGCAGAATATTTGGTAGAAATAAAATCCCAGAGTAGAATTTAGTCAATTCAAAGTGCACAGGTCCATAATTTTCAAGAATTTGCCTGTCCAATAACTCTATGTTTGCCTGTCCAACATGGTCTATGCTGAGACATAAACACCATCAAACTGCTGAGTACAGTACTGAACTAGCGAACATTATCTTATATACTTTTAAACTTTAATTCCATTAGAGCTATCATTAATATCCAGTGTAAACCATGACGCAAAGCTTTCCAAAAGGTGTGCCCCAACACGTCTCAAATGTTTGCAAAAGAAATTGTGAATTTACCTGTGGCATGATATTAATATATAATTTTATTAGCTCCTACCACACTTTGTGTGTAATATTTTGGATGATGTAATTCATGCTTGAAGGCATTTAAATCAGTTGTACCATGGTATGTACAAATTAATTAATTTCTAACCTCCGCTGAAGAAGAATTAAAATAGAGTTTCATTCAGAGCAAACATGCAACACGTTATGTTGTTGCATCATTAGAGTCGAAATATCACTCCTCTGAAAGTGAGTTTTATTACCCCAGTACTCCCTATTAAAGCATTAACAGAGGTGAATAGTATAGTGAAGGTACACACTTACCTCTGCAACATCTTCATATCTAGGGAAACAGAATTATCCTATGGTTTGTCAGAGTGAGCGTTCCCTAACACGAAAACTAAGCATACTGCACTTTTAGAAAATAATATATCAGCTGCCCTTAGAATGGCTAAGCCTAAAATTTAAAAGTATAGAAAACAGTCTTCATGCAGATTAAGCATTAACAGAGACAAGCCAAGCACAAGGATTACAAATTAGCAGACCAGGGTCAAGGATCATAGGAGTCAGAACTAGCGAGTAAGTAAGCTATATCAAAACAGGGGAAATCATAATAATATAGATAAGGCACTTGTGGGAAACTAAAACCATGATGGGACATAGAACAAACCATGGATATAACTTATATAGCCATAGAGAGAGTCTGCTTGGTCTGAGTCAAATTTTGACACCAGCATGTGTGTGCCTTGTGTTTCCATGTAGAAACCAAAACCCAAGACTCCAAACAATGACGTGGGGCAATATTACTGCAAGAAGACGCTTGGGTGGAGTGTTCCACGTTGAAAACAATGACAGAATGACACAATGCATCAAATTGAGTGCGAGACAGAGCACCATATACATTTGGGCATCTTCTGAGAACTTGTACATGAACTGGTTATGCCTGAACAGCAAAACATAAAATGTAACTTGCAAAATAAAGTCCATTTGGCATTATAACCATAGCGAAATTTTAGTTTGCTCTCAGGTTTGTACCAAGAGAACACATGTGAGATTTCCCCTTTAAATACGTATTGTTTTGGGTAATAAGCCAAAGAGATGTTGGAGTGAGAGAAAGTTAAGATTGGGAATTTCGCGATCCTTTAATATCACTAAATTAGAAAGTGTTTAACAGTACACGTCCAGGGTAAATACAGACGGTTTTGCAAATCAGGGATGTAGAACACCAGTGGTTGACGTATTTGGAGACACACCAACCTTTAGTATAATGTGTGGCACGTTGGTCGGTGATGGATTACTTTTAATTGCATGTTAATTAAAGAAACTTGGTAAGGATTATATTCATTGGGAACTATGCAACAATCCTTATTTTGAATTTTATTTATGGCTTTACTTATGGAAATGACAGAGCAACATGAAGAAGAAAATGACAATATCAAAAGCCAACTGTGTTGTCTCTCAAAATGTGTCATGTCCTTACACCACAGCCAGACTGTCCTAGTCTCACCACAGCTATGAACTGCCTGGACATCTAAATCTTTCATTGTACTATATTTTTAATACCTACTATAAATGTATTCATCTTTTTTATCATCTAATTCCCTTCTCACAGATATCATGCAATAATTAATCAAAATTCTTTTGTTGGATCCCACAAAGTTCATCCCTCAATCTTTCCTGGCAATACCTTTGTTTAAAATATTCAGGTTTTTACCCATCAATTATTGTCTCACGTCTACTTATACAGGGTCATTTACTAAAATGAGAATTCAATGTGAATTTTAAATTGAGGGCCAAAGAAGCTGAACTGGAAGCATGGCTGAATTCGATACTTAATGAAGAATTAGAATGGATGCTAACTGAATAAGATGCTTCAAAAAGCAAAAGAAAGGATGTCAGTGTAACAGAACCCTGTACTGTTTTGCCTGAACTTAATCTACAGTGCTGCTGGGGAGTTTAAACAGAACCGAATGACTGGTGTTCGTATAACTATTGCTACCCAAAATACCGAACATCAGACCACCCAGGGGAACAGTTAATTACTATTTTACCTCCCAGCGATTGTGGAGCCGTTCGCATGGTTCAGACGAATCCCTTTGTCTGAGAATAGGTGGCCGCCATTTCGGGACTTTACACGTGTTCGCGGCCATCTTACGCACGAACGGCGGTGTTTGCCTGTGAACGCATGGAACTAAAAACGGATACGCAAACAGGCGAACACCGCTGAGACCTCCAGGAGCTCGTAAGTTCGTGCTGAAACTACCGAACGACCGGCCGTTCGGTAGTTTTGTTTAAGCATGCATGGGGATTCAGGCGAACGGCAGGATTACTGTGGAGGGCAAGGGGTTCGTGGGGTTTTTATTCACGAACGGGGACCGACCGCAAGGCCAAAACTTGTGGAACTCTTTTCGGCTGAAAATCCTGTGCGGTCGGTCAAAACTTCAAAGACCCATAACTCCCGAACCCCACAACCGAATGACTTGAAATTTGAATATGTTATTCCCCTGAGTGGTAGCTATTAAGCGGTGCTGGACTTAAAGGTGTACCCCCTGTTTTTAGGGTACATCCAGAATGTGGGTAAATTTATGTACATTATAATTATGTTATGTGTTTATCTGAGGGGAGGAGACGTGGGGGTGTTACCCTGTGTGTAATTGGTTATTTTCACCCTCCCCCTGGGAGTGTCCTGTGTGTACTTGTTCCTAATAAAAAGCAGGCTGGTTCTCCCAGACCTCAGTTCTACTTGACCCTTCAAAACGTAGCCTCGTCTCGTTCTTGGAGGGGATTTATGGTGCCATTACTCTGCCTCATTTTTCAGTACTGCCGGATTATACCCTGGGATATCGTGGATGGGAACAAGGACTCTATTACTACACAGCAGCTTGCACAGAAAAGGACATCTCCAACGGCAGATACCCCTCTACAGCTGGGTAGCCGTTACAGTCAGTATATACAAACATAGGTTCACAAACGCTGCTCTGGCAAAAGAGGTGGAATGGAGAAGAAGACACCTGAATAAGCCAACTTTGAGCCAAGTACTCTTATTTTTTTAACATTATTTATTTAACATTTCACAATTACAGTGAGACAATAAGCTATAAGTAGATGAAAGACATTCCAACAGTGGATAGATCCCAGAATTTTTTGTGTGTAACAGCATGGAAGTAAAAGGAGTTAGGGAGAGGGGAGATCCCAGAGAATCGCCTTTGACTGGAATAGTGAAGGCTGAACTCTTCATGTCAATACAACCTGGTGCCACAGTGCAGAAAACAAAGTTAACGCAATAACACAAGAGCCAGAGCAGCTCTAATTATCATCGTACAAATGAGTACTAGCATGCTTGTTGAATATCTCTGGGTAGAGCTAACCAGAACAAATAGTTACATAGCTGAAAAGAGACATGCAACTATCAAGTTCAGCCATTCTCATATTTGTTTTTGCTGTTGATCCAAAAGAAAGCAAAAAAACCCCAAAACAATCTGAAGCACTTCCAATTTTGCAACAAACAAGGAAACTATCCTTCTTGACTCCAGAATGGCAGTCAGATATCTCATTGGACCAAGAAGGTATTACCCCACTAATTAAAAATGATTTCCCTGTATATTATTTGCAAGTATTTATCCGATTGCTGTTTAAACATCTCTATGGACTCTGATAAAACAACCTCTTCAGGCAGAGAATTCCACATTCTTATTGCTCTTAACGTAAAAGATCCTTTCCTTCGCCTTACACTAAATCTCCTACTTCCAGTCTAAATGCGTGACCTTGTGTTTTTTTTATGTATAGTCCTGTTCATAAATAAAACATAATAATATAGGCGAACCAAGTGTTCTTTGATGAGATTATTTACTAAATCATAAGTTACCAGGAATTGACTAAGGAACTGAAAATGTTAAATAACTGAACTCTAAAAGAATGTGTATTCACAAAATTTTCCAGTTCTGATATTTTGGCTTCAGAATTGCCATTTAGTGAATGATCATCTTTTTGTAATACTAAAGAATTTAATTTCCCAGATTCACTAAAAAATTTAAGCACTTGAGAATAACATATTTGAAATAATATTCTGTTTAGGTAGAAATTGGTTGTGCATTGAATAGCAGCATATTCATCCATAATTGATTTATTATGTACTGTCTTTTATCATTATGATTACTACTAGTTAAATGATTTATTATTTACGCATGTATTATCAGGCGTCTCCCTATGTGAAGGCAGACACCCCATCTATGAGTCAGGGTTTATGTAATTGCAGACTTGGCCTGGCTCCTCCTTGGCAAATGCTAAACAAAACAAAAAAATGTGAGCAGTTTTTAGTCAGTTATTTTTAAAACATAGTTTTCACTGTGGTTCACTGACACACGAGTCAGTGAAATGTCAGCGTGGTGCCATGAGCGTTATTTTTGGAAAAATGGAGGCACTACCAAAATAATTGAATAGGTCATTCTAATCACCATTACCACTACACCAGTATCCAGTGACTATCCCTTCCTCGTCAGCATTGATAATATGCAATTGAAATGTCTACATGATTAATGTCAATTCTGTCCAGTCTGAAGGGCATTGATTGGCTGAAAATACTGGGCTAATCCATTTTATTCAAAAGCCAATTAAATTGGCTTTAATAATTTTCCTGCAACTTAACAACCAAAGCATTTAATATAATGTATTGTATTATATATATTTAGCAAATAAAACTTGTAATCATAGGTGGGGTTAGGGGAGTTGTTGGGGGCCCTGGTTATTGGTTCTTAAGCTCCAGGTATCTACAGTTGGTGGAGGGGGGAGGAGGATAATAGTGTTTTTTATAGTTAATTTATATCAGGCATACTTCACAATGCAGCGTTATATAAAAAATAAAGATCAATAGGGAAGTGCTGCACTAGGGAGGGATGACTGTTGGCGGGGAATAGATGTTTGCTGCACATCTTTCTGTTAATTAGGTGGTGTCACAAGTGAATTGAATATCTGGTGGTGAAGCATATCCTTTTTCCTGACTGCGCCTTCATTGAGATCCTGGAGACTGCAGAGCATCAGCAGCACGCTGTTCATTGGTAGACAGGACATGACACAACACAAACGGTTGGAGAAATATCTTGGCATATCTCCACCTCTCTGTTAGTTTACTGGTCAACAGGTCTTTCTTTGGGCTCAAGCCCAGGTGTTCCTGTGACCTAGCAATCACCTTGCTTGTAAGGTATTCTAGTATTTTAGTATGTATATTATGATATTCCAGTAATTTTAGTATGTAGAGGGCCCGTTATGACTCCTGTCCTACCAAGAGATGGCAGAAGGATGCACTGTTAGAGAAGGCAGGCCAGTAGAGGCAGTGTTATGCTCTGGACAATATTCTCCTGAGATAACCTTTGACACAGACCACCTACCTAAAGGTTATTCCAGACCACCTCTTCATGACAATGGTG